TGTGTGTGTGTGTGTGTGTGTGTGTGTGTGTGTGTGTGTGTTTTCATATGTTTGAGTGCCTACAGAAGCCAGGAGAGGGCTCTAGATTTCCTAGAGCCAAAATTACAGGCAGTTGTGAATGGCCTAACAATGGGTACAGGAACTGAACTCAGGTTAAATAAGTTGGCTTTAAAAACAAGTTTACTAGTTTTCAAAAAGCCAAGCAGTCATGGGTACTTCTCCCAGGAGCCACAGCCAGCAGCGCAGCAGGGAAAACCCAGCCCCTCCCCAAGTTTACCTTGCCGGTTGAAGTCCATGGACGGTTGCTTGCAATCCTGAGCGCGGTGGCCAGTAGCTCCACAGTTGTAACAGGACAGATTGCCACTCTTTTTGTGACTGGAGCCATTGGTGCTGCCCACCAGGCCTTGGGTTTGGTACACCCCTGCTGTCCCAGCCATGAAGTTCTGCATGGGTGGCACCGCGAAAGTGGACTGCCCACCTAGGACAGGGTCCGGAGTCACACTGCCACTGTAGGGCGCGTGCACAACAGGGAAGGCAGAACCGCCACCGTACTGCTGGGTGCTGACGTAGCCGTTGCTGCACATGGGACTGAAGGGTAGGAAAGGGAAGGTAAACATGGATGGCCCAGAGAATGGGTGCTGGAAGTAGTTGGCATAGCTGACAGTCAGGCCACTGGAGCCACAGCTGCCACTGCACCCACAGGACGTGCACACAATGCAGCCAGGTGGGGGCGGCGCAGGCTGTGGGGGTGCGGGGGGCTGCTGATGGTGGTGGTGGTGGTGGTGGTTCTGACTTGAGGCAGGAATGTTTCCTGGGGAGCTGCTGCCAGCACCGCCACTGTAGAAGCTGCTTTCAGGGACAGAGGAGAGGGCAGGGCTGGAGCTGGGGGCAGGGCAACTGGGCAGAGTGGCCATGCTCGCAAAAGATGTGGAGGGGTGGCTGCTGGGGGAGGCAGTGTTGCTGTTGGCGCAGAAGCTGCCCTGCAGTGGGCCCACAGGCACACTGCTCACTGCAGAGAAGGCAACTTTGGTGTTGGCTGTATACAGAGCAGTCCGGGGGTTGATTATTGCAGGGGGCACGCTGATCTGCCCGTTGTTGGGGCAAGAAGTCTGCCCAGAGATGGCAGCATCAGCAGGGACGGAGGAGGACAGCAGCAGCTTGATGGGCGGCCGGGCCACATGCAGGACGGTGCTCGGTGTCCCTGTGGCGGCTGAGCTGGTCTCCACAGTCAGGGCTGGCTGCTGCGCTGTCTTCAGCACCCTGTCCAGTGTGGCCGCATGCACAACTTTGGCCCGGGGACCAAAGGAGACCGTGGGTGACACAGAGTTGTTCTCCACAATGCCCGAGAGGACCTGTACTGGCGGATGGGGTGCCGCTGAGGGCAGTGTGTCCAGCACAGGGCCACCAAAGCTCTTGTCTACTTTTGTGCCACTTCTAGGGCCAGGCCCCTTGTTCCTTTCTTCCAAGGACAGAAGGGAGTGGACAGAGGATGAGAGGAGCTTCACATCCGTGCTGCCTCTGTCCGACTTGTGCACAGAGTTCAGCATGCGGACAGGTGCCAGGTGTGAAGCTGCAGGCATCAGCTGTGGGGGCAGGGGATGGTGACCTGCAGGGCTGGAGCCAGCCTCATTCTGCACAGGCAGAACCTGGGCCGTGGGTCTGGCAGAGTTGGATGGGAAGTGAGTCAGCAACATTACAGGCTTCTCCTTATCAGTACCCTCAACATGTATGTCCACACCTGAGGACGGAAAAGACTGTTAGCACAGCGTGCGCCCAGGGTTGAGCTCAGAAGGAGGGACAGCAAACAGGCCACACAGCACAGGTGTCTTACGTCTATCGCTCTCCTCAGCGCTGTCTGAACTCTCCTCTCGCACCTGCACACCCATGGGGCTAGAGGAAGAGCTGGAATACTCTGAGGAGCTGCCTTCCCGGGGCAGCTGGTGAGCCGGTGGCTCCACCTCCACCCGCAGCTCTGTGGAGAAGGCAGGTAGAGGTCAATAGCTCTATGGCACTCGCCCACAGGCAAGAGAACCCTGCTAGGAACACTAGGAAACACGTCCCCAATCACGGTCAGATTACACTCCCAGAATCTTGAAAACTGAACCAACCACTTAAGGCCGTACTGTTAGGTGACAGAGCAAAGGGGGACTCCTGACTCAGGCTATCACACTGCAAGGGTGATGCCCAGTCCCTGTGGGGCCGGTTCCATCCTGAAGAGTGCAGAACAGCACTGTATTATCTGCCATGAAGGCTCCCTACAGCAGGCTGAATTGTCCAAGCTGGACATTTATTTCTTACCCATCTGCCATGACTCTTGCTATTCATCACATCCTGTTGATGAATAAAGCAATGCTCAGTGCTTTCCTGCAGGAAAACACAGCCACTAACTCGTATGTCCCCAGCCTCTTCCACGTACAGGGAACAGGGGCAGAGGAGGACGGAGGCTGAAAACCCAAGTCCTTAAGCCTCTCAAGTCTCCAATGGGAAGACAGGAAAGACAACAGTGGTCAGAGAAAGGGCACCGGGCTACAGTTCATGACAGGTACCTGTGTGGCAAGGGCCTTTCACCTCTCTGAACTGTATCTTGCTTCCCCTGAAAGCATGAGAGTTCAGGGTCTAACAATGCTGCCCAAATAATCTGAGGCGAGGCATCAGTGTCTGGCAGCTAAGGCCAACCATACAATTACTTTCCTGTAGTAAACACTATAGAGTCAGGATAAAGAAGACTAAGTATAAACATTTAAAACCTGTAAATAAAAAACAAGAGTGATCTGAAGTCTAATTCTGATCCAAAAGAATACCATACCACACCTGTACACACGCCACACATCTGAACCACAGGCCCTCACACACCTGCAGCATGGCTGCTACGCCCAGGCTGCACAGGCCCCACGTGGCTGGTGGGGGTGACTCGGGCCACTCCACTGCTGGTGACCAAGGATGGGGCTGAGGAGTTGAGGCACCGTCTCTCTGACTTCTCCCTGTGAGTAAGCATAGTAAGCATAGTCAGAAAGCTTCTGCACCACCACACTCCAGCTTCCAGTGCACCTCCCAGGCAGGTCCTCCCAGGTGATGTTGGGCATCAACTGAGGCCTGGGTAAGAAAGAAAGTAACCCAGACCCTGACATTTAAAAACCTGCAGGTTATAACACTGCTGGGCACATGAGAAACTAAAATGAACACAATTTATTCTGTGTTGATTTGGTGTTTTGAGTCACGGGTTACCTCAAACTCAAATCCCTATCCTCCTGCCTCAGCCTCAGTGCTAGGATTGCAGTGTGGCCACACCCAGAAAAGCACACATTAAGTAATTTCTTTTTTCTCTTTCTTTTCTTTTTTTGTTTGTTTTTGTTTTTTTGAGACAGCATTTCTCTGTGTAGTTCTAGCTGTTCTTGAACTAGCCCTGTAGACCAGGCTGGCCCCAAACTCACAGAGATCCACCTGCCTCCGCCTCCCAAGTGCTGGGATTAAAGACATGTGGCATCAACAACACCCAGCATATATCAAATGATTTCATGCTTACTTTTCCAGCTCCAACTGAGTCTTGAGCTTTTTCTTTGCTCCCATGGTGAGGGACTCAAATTTATTCAGGTCTTCTTCAGTAAGGCTCAGGAACTTGCATAGGACAAACAAAGGACAGTTACTGAGATGACCATGAGGACTCTGGAACCAACAAACCTGAATCTGAGTGCAGGACAAGAGATCAAAGGGCAAGCAAACAAAAAACTAGAGATATGGACGCCATTTCCCATTGCTTGAAAGAGCTGTGGCCTCTCTCCTCTGTTCCTCACGACAAGTGCAGCTGACAGGCACCCTGCAGCCCTCTGGTCCCTGCACACCTCAGACAGTTTGAACCACTATTATAATTGAGGCTGTCGCTGTCCCTATACTGTGGGGAAGGTCTCACTGGTGTGCACCAGCCTCTGCACACAGAAGCAAAGCACAGTTGCCTTACGACCATTCTTTTTGGCAAACCTTCAGTAGTTGATAAGGACCCAAATCATCTAGAAAGGCGGCACTATCCAGACAAAGTGGTAACTAGCCCACAGGCCTGACGCCCCAGGACAACTGGCAACACAACTGGCTTACCACTCACAGCCAGCTGTGGGATTCAGGCATCTCATCATAGTTCCGAGTAGAAAATTCAAACTGATTATGACCAATGTTAGAGAATCTCTTGTCCTTAAGATTCAAGGACCCAGCTGGGAGTGGTGGCACACACCTTTAATCCCAGCACTAGGGAGGCAGAGGCAGGCAGATCTCTGTGAGTTCGAGGCCAGCCTGGTCTACAAAGTGAGTTCCAGGACAGCCAGGGCTACACAGAGAAACTCTGTCTCAAAAAAAAAAAAAAAAAGATGCAGGGTCCCTCAGCAGCAGCATGGCAAACAGAAACACTGCGTTTCCCCACCTCCAAAGCTCCATCTCCAGGTTTAACAGTGGCCTTTTAGATGTGTGGAGCTATTACAGAGTCATTTTGTCCAGCAGGGGGAGTTCAGACTTCAAACACCTTGTGCAGGTATCATTTGGCTTAGCCAGTGGTACTGAGGTTTAGAAAACACCAAAAGGCATCTCTAGTCAACACTGCCCACTCAAACACTGCTCTCTGAGCAGGCCACCCTCCCTCCCAGGACTCCACCGTTCAATGTAGCCTTGGCTGTCTGAGCCCCACTTGCTTGTGTCCAAGGCAATGACTCTGTGAGCTGGCCACACGGAGGCTCGAGCTACACCGGAGCGGCTTCAAAGAGGAGAAAATGGCATCGGAATGAGCACTGGCCTACAGTAGCTTGAGGGATGGAGCCAACTGAAGTCACAGAGTCCCTGGTTTGTCAAGACCTGAAACATCTAGAAAAGCTATGTGCTTATGACAACTCCTGCTTTGGTTTGTTCTGGCTTCAGGCAGAACACCTGGGGGTGAACTCTTGGTCCCTCTAACATCAAGCTATATGATCACCACCCAGGTTCTTGACACCTCTAGGAATGAGGACAGGGCACAGGCTAGAGAGGAACACTCGAAGGTGTGACCCTCTGAGTAGCCAACATACCTTCTCCATGGTGAGCTGTTTAAAGACAGGGTAATACTTGTGCAAACGCAGCTTCCTAAGCCAGTCTAAAATCCCATTTTGCTCCTGGGGCTGAGGGGCCTGCAGACTAGAGGGCATCAGGATGGTAGGCGAGTTGTCCACTTGGGTCCGGTAGGCCAGTGCTGAGCCTGTCCCCGCTGTGTGGGAGCAGTGGGGCAGGGAAGCAGACGCACTGGCCGAGTGAGGCAGGTGGTGCTGGGCGCTGCTCTGCGAGGACGGAATGCCAGCCACTCCACACACAGGCCTGCAGGACAGGGGACAACAGAGTACAGGCACCGCTCTACAGACTGCCAGCTGGCACCAGGAGGTTAGAGGTATCTCATGCTGGCACCTACTCCCTTAGTGCATCTGGTGTTCAGCTCATGGCACACTTGAGTCTAATCAGTGTCCTGTCTGCTACCACCCCCATCACAACTTCCCTCCTCACAACACAGTGCCCACAGGGACACTTCTGTGTGCACATGCTGTGTGTGTCCATGTGCACCAGAGATTCAGCTGAGCTACCTGGTGTCTGTCACTTCTAAAAAACAAGATGATACCAATAAATCACGAGTTAAAACAAGCTACTCAGCACTGGGGAAAAAAACATGAAACTGGGAAGCCAAAACGGGATTCTTTCTACCCAACTCCTCTCCTGTCATTATCCAAGATACAGGTTGAGCAGACTGCTCTGACAGCAGCTGGTACACACACACACACACACACACACACACACACACACACACACACACACACACACACACACACACAGAGGAGGAGGCGGTGCTGGCCATGCTGGCTAGAGAGGACCACTCACCTCCCAGACACGCCCATCATGGCACCTACTTTAGGAAGGGAGGGGTTGCCAGGACCTACAAAGTAGAAGAAAAGTGTCATAGAAACTGACAGACAATAATATAGCTTTATTTTATTTTTTAACCATTTCACAAACTTACTTGGACTTTGGAGCTGTTGGGTGGGAGACGAAGTGCTGAAGAACTTCCTAACGTGGTCATGTTTCAGTGTGTGTGAAGGTATGGAAGCCAAGTACCTGGGGAGTAACACAGCAGCTTGTCAGCACTGAAATCTCAATCTCAATCTCAATCTCAATCTCATCTCTCTCTCTCTCTCTCTCTCTCTCTCTCTCTCTCTCTCTCTCACACACACACACACACACACACACACACACACACACACACACACAACAGTGGGAAAATCTGAAAACTTCACCCAAGAGAATGTCCGACAGCCTGATACTCGTCTTGCTTTTATTCATCTTATATAGTTCCCTTCAAGTCCCTTCTCGTCTCTTACAGAGAGTGAATCAAGAGTCTGGGACATGAGCACTGGAACTGTAATGCTCCCAAGTCTGCCCCAACTAAGTCACAATGTGAAGACACTGGTTCCAGGGCTCAGAGAGGATCATGACCTCTTACACACTAGAGAACCAGCAAGAGGCCACAGCTGTGGCTCAGTTGGTGAGTGTTTATCCAACATACATGAAGCCCTGGGTTCCATCCTTACACCACATCAACTGTGTGTACTGGGGCACACTTTGATCCCAGCCCTTGGGGGGTGGAAGCAGGAGGATTACAAATTCAAGGTCATCCTCAGTCTCCAAACAACAGAGCAAAACTAGTGAGCCTCAGTACTGCATGGACCATGTGTGGGCCACGATTGAAGATTCAGAGAACCTATTTTCAATCTGACAAGCTTCAGATTCTTCTTTTCCCTGAGACAGGGTTTCTCTGTGTAGCCCTGGCTGTCCTGGAACTCACTCTGTAAACCAGACTGGCCTCGAACTCACAGAGATCAGCCTGCCTCTGCCTCCTGAGTGCTTGCTGGGAGTAAAGGTGTACACCACAACCACCACCCAGCCACAGCTTTGGCTTTTAACCACACGACACAGCTGATTGCTCATATCATCTCACAAGGACAGCAAAAGCCCACACGGCACAAGCTTTTGATTCCTTCACCTCATCCTCAACTCACCCCAAGGTTGTCCATATCCTTCAAACTCTTCTAACAGATAGTCCTGGAGATAAAGGAAAGACCAGAGCAGTCACACCACCTAGCCAAGAGCCTTACTTACCTCAGACCTGCTTCCAAATCCACATGGTTGCGCTCCACATAGAAGGAATCTGGGCCAGCCAAGCAAGGAATGAGTTTGTCCAAGTTCTCTTCAGGGTAGAGCTGGGATAACTGAAAGAAACGACAAGGCAGAAGAAGGTCGTCTCCACAGCACACCAGCACCTTGCCTTTGGCTTGACAAGGGGCCTCCGGAACATCTGAGGTAGGACAGTTTGGACCTTTTCAGCTGCTTAGGTTCTATACACATGTAAGACACCCCACCACAGGCAGGAGATACCCCACAATCTACTCATCCTAACTATCCCTGAGTCTAACATAGTTTGAGCCACAGGGCCAGTTCCTGACCAGAAGCTGAACAGGGATCAGGACTGCAAAGAAAATTCAAAGACTCTTCGATACCATACTATGGTCAGCACAAATGGGATAAGATGGATATATCCCCCTGGGCCATTTATGCTAGGCCAGCAGTGAGGTCCTAGCAGGGTCAGTGTAGACAGGGGTGGCTGGCTCTGGACATGACTGTAACATCTTTGATGGGCTGATGCTTCCTGGGTCTTGAGCTGCCAGAGGTTTGCTTAACACTCGGCTTTCAGGTGTCCCAATACACTGGAGTGGCTCTTCCTGATGTATCCTCTCTCAAGGACAGGCTGCCAATGCCCATTACCTGGTGCTAGACTTATCAGGCACAAGTTCCCTGGGAACAGATCTAAACTCCCAGGGCCTTGTCTCTAAGGCAAAGGTTCTTAGCCTTTAGGGGAGGAACTGGAACATGATATGTTCCTGGCCCAGTGTATAAAAAAAGACCCCAGTTTCTTAGGCAACAGTACTTTGGGTGGAAGAGAAAAGCAAACATCTTCTGGCCCTGGAGCAAGGACTTTCATGAAAACCCCATGGATGCAGGACCCTATTTAACACACAAGCAGAGGTCATCTACTACGGGGAAGGGGTTGAGGTTATGACAAAGTCTAGCCTCCAAAACCCAGGCACAACAGCCCTGTGTCTAGGATCACGACCAGGACAGGAGAGCGGAGAATCCTCCTCTTACCCTTCCATAAGTCTAGCACCAGGTAATGGGCATTGGCAGCCTGTCCTTGAGAGAGGATACATCAGGAAGAGCCACTCCAGTGTATTGGGACACCTGAAAGCCGAGTGTTAAGCAAACCTCTGGCAGCTCAAGACCCAGGAAGCATCAGCCCATCAAAGATGTTACAGTCATGTCCAGAGCCAGCCACCCCTGTCTACACTGACCCTGCTAGGACCTCACTGCTGGCCTAGCAGGAGACAAGTATCCACTATAGGCATGACTACTGTTTCCTCAGATTCTGCAGCCTTCCAAACATAATGACTATATAATAAAAATTTGAAAAAAAAATTGAAATAAAAATTTCAAAAACATGAGAAAATACAGGGACAGGGAGACTACTGTCAATGCTGTCAAGAGATAAATTAGGTGGGGTGGCTCATGCTTGTGATCCCAGAACCTCTCTGCTGACTGTCATGACTAGGTCAAAGACAGAAGCCATTGGTACCACTGCACCATGTAGTTTTCACTGCTTGAAGAGCCCTTGGTCACCTTACCTTTGAAATAAATTCAGTCACTTCTGAGGAAGACTTGGTTACTGATGTTATTGAAGAATCAGACCATAAGACCTTAAAAACAAATATACAAGTCTTAACAAACAGATACCACATACTCAGATTCCAACTGCCTAGGGCCCACAGCTAGTAACTACTGCCTGGTGAATGGTATACTCACACTCCTGACTTGCTAAGAAGACAAAAGTCACATAATCCAAGTCCATTCATGTACTACCAAGTCACTAGAGCATGGGGGCCACTCCTAGGGCATCTCTGCCATCTAAGTACCCATGTGCACCAGGCATGCTTCCTTCTCTGCATGGTACATGTGATTCTGGACAGAGCATCAAGTCACTAGAAATCACCCTTTTCCTCTGGAAGCAGGTGTCTGTGTCACACAGTTGCTGTGGCTATGTGAAAACGTGAGCCCAGGCCTAGCTTGGGCCCTCGGGCAGATGACAAACGTGGAACAGGAGAGGTCCTCCACAGGAGGGCTGCACCAGGCCAAGAGCGTCTGAGAGGTGAGCAGGGCTTGGAGCCTGCAGAGGCTGCACGTGCCTGTAGGCTTAATACTTACTTTAGCCCATGGCACTTGGGCTGGCATCATCTTGTGACTTCATAAAGCTCCTGACACTGGCTGAGCTCTCCTGTCATCCCTTCTTGAATACAACAAGCCTACTGCTCACAACAGTGCTATGCAGCCTGAATGCAGCTACTTCTTCAGGTGTATATGTGTGGGTTTTTTTTTTTGGGGGGGGGTAGCGGCAACATGTGCAAAGGACATGAACCCACTTAGAAAGGCAAAGACAGGAGGCATGAAGAATAGGCCAACTTAGAGATACAAAACACACACATTTTGCCTAAAACCCAGAAGTCATTGCCCAAAAGAGACACATCACATTTACCATGGTGTGGAGGCAAGAGTACAAGATGCCAAGCCCCTAATCCCTTCCCTGCATAGCTGAGACAGCCCTGACCTGGGAGGGCTCAATCATGTTCCTCTCATCTGTGAGATGTACGTGGATCTGCATACTTCACCATCAGCAGTGTGTGGCAGCTCTCCCAAAGCCACAGCAAATGGGAGAGAAGACCCCATGACTTAACAGGTGAGGCAACTACAGTCTCTGAGCTACCTGCTGCTAGGAGTGTGGCTTCCATCCCAACTTGTGTGCACTTTGTAGAAAGATACCTCAGTGCTTCTTGGCTTCCAACCCTCCCACAAAGCTGGGGTTCCTCAGTTTGGGCCACATCAACCCTGACATCCCAGATTGAAGACTGAAGATTGAGTCACCCAGAGCCTTGAGTAGAGACAGCTGGCAATCTGTTTCTAGCAGGAGTCTTTTTTCCCCACATCTGACCCAAGGAAAGCACAAAGCCCAGTCAGACAAGGACAGTACGACAGCCATGCTGAAAAGAATAGTCTAACCCCTGCCATGGCATGGCTTGCCTTGTGTGTGTTCCTGAGTTCCTCACAGGCCAGAACACAGAGTGGAGGATTCACAGCCTGGTCTCAGGGATCTGGTTCACTTCCAAGTTGCCTAGCTTTGGCCAGGGTCCAAGGCTGCACTGGCCTCACTCACTCTCCACACAACACAAGGTACTGGAGGAAGACAGGCCACCACAAAGGCATGGAGATGCTAATGCATCCAATCAGAGCTGGCATCTGCCATCCTCCTCCAGGAACCCATTCCTTCCCACTCCATCAGCAGGTACTGCAACAAAGTTGAGGCACACTGCACCAATTACTTCCTCCAAGAGCTGCAGAGCCATACTGGGGCTGACTTGAATCTTTCATCACACAAGAAATGAGCAACACACAGGCTCAGGGCAGCCCCAAATGCAGCCTCATTTCCTATTCACATGCAGCACCTTCGTCTAGAGCCACTAAAATGGCATGTGCTTTCTTCTGTACCAGCCAGGTGCTGGGCAGACTGGCCCCACCCAGCCTACGAGGTACCTTGTAAGATCCCATATTCTTCCCAAACTCTCAGCCATCTTAAGGAAAAACAGCACGGAGGATGAAGGCCTGCAATCCACATTCTCAGGGGACTTGATGCCAAGAACAGAAAGAAGAGCTTGGCTGAGGCAATGGTGGCGAGCAATGGTCTGGCACAGCAGACAGCTCAGGCCCCAGGGAAGGATCTGGAGGAGAGCCCAAAGCAAAGAAACCTCCAAACATCACACTAAAAACCAGAGAAGCTGAGCAGAGACATGATTCCAGGGGAGACTGAATCCTCTAAGATGGATGAGGCAGGTGACACCAAGACTCTTCCAGAAGTCTAAAACCTTTGGCTGGAGACACTGAGGCTGCCAGAGATCCAGCCAGAGTGAAACCAGGTAAGCATGTTCCCATATCCCTCAGGAAAGCTATGGCTAGGCCAGGCATGATGGCATACTCCTTAAACCCTAGCACTCAGGAGGCAGAGGCAGGAGGGTCTCTGTGAGTTCAAGACCAGTCTGGTCTACATAGATAGTCAAGACTACATAGAAAGACCCTGACATCCTTCTCCTAGTGCTAGCTGAAAATATATGCAGTGGCCAGAGAGATGCCAGGTAGACATGCTTGCTACCAAGCCTGGTGACCTGGGTTCAAGCTTCAGGACCCACATGGAGGAAGCCAGGTTCTATAGGGTGTCCTCTAACTTCCACAGGAGTGCCATGCCAAGTGCATGCCCACATACTCACACCCACAAGCACACTAAATAAATGAATGAAACTGTAAAAAAAAAAAAAAAAAAAAAAAAAAAAAAAAAAAACTTGGCCAGCCCATTATCAACCACCAGGGGGTGGGGTGGGGCAAAGATGAGACACCTCCAACAGGAAGCATCAAAATGGTATTGCCTGGCTAGTCCTTAAGACCCTGCCACACTCTTTTTCCTTCCTTCCTTCCTTCCTTCCTTCCTTCCTTCCTTCCTTCCTTCCTTCCTTCCTTCCTTCCTTCCTTCCTTCCTTCCTTCCTTCCTCCCTCCCTCCCTCCCTCCTTTCTTTCTTTCTTTCTTTCTTTCTTTCTTTCTTTCTTTCTTCGAGAAAAGGTTTTTGTGCCTGTCCTGGATCTCACTCTGTAGACCAGGCTGGCCTCGCACCTGGGATTAAAGGCGTGTGCCACCGCCGCCTGGCTAAGATCCTGAAACACTCTTAAAAATAGATGACTCAGTAAGGGCCGTGGTTCACACATCTAACTCCAAAACTCTTGACAATTCCTATAACCCCATGTTGAGATAGGATGAAAAATTCCAGTCTTGCCTAGGCTACACAAAGAGACCTTGCTTAAAAACAAAACAAACAAAACAAAACCACAACTCTAAGAGAACAGACCTGAGTGAGTCAGAAAATCATGAGGCTAGGCTCAGTGTTGGCTGGCCTGTGTTGCCCGGCCACCCTATAGTCATGTGCAGGCAGCACCACCTTGCCTGGCTAGTAAAGAATGCTCTCAACTGAAAACAAGCTTTCTAAGACAAGACACAACAGAGCAGTAACTGCAGGTGGCTTTTGAGGGGTGCACTGTACAGCGTACAGCGGTGTCCTGGAACTCAAGTCAAAGTCTCAGCTACTGTGCTTCCGAAATGGCACCCCTCCACTGTTCCTCCTGTACACCATCGGGTGTAGGGAGCAAGCTGAGCAAGCTTCTGAAGAGCCTGTTAGCTGACTTTCTTCAGACATACTCCCCCATCTGCTTCCTGCAACTCTGGCTGGGTCTCCTCAGGCCTAGCAAGTGCAGTTGCAGCAAAAACAACACTAACTCTCTGGAAAAGAGCAGGAAGGTTCACACCTGTCTGCAGCAGGTGCTTCTTGAGTACCTCCATCCACTAACTCCGTGCTGGGAAACACTGTGTTCTCATTACATTTCTGTCAACTCAACACAAGCTAGAGTAATTTTGGGAAGAACGAACCTCAACTGAGAAAGTGACTCCAGCAGACTGGCCTGTAGGCAAGTCTCTAGTGCATTTTCTTGGTTAATGATTGATGGGGAAGGGCTCAGCACACTGTTGGGTGGTGTCACCCCTGAGTAGATGGTCCTGTAAGAAAGGAGGCTGAGCAACCCAGGGGGAGCAGCCAGTAAGCAATATTCTTTCATGGCCTCTGCTTCAGTTCCTGTCTCTGGTACCTGTCTTGAGTCCCTGTCCTCACTTCCCTTAGAGTGTGACCTGAGAGCTATGAGCTGAAATAAACCTTTTCACCTTTTCCTTCAGAAGTTGCTTTCTTTGGTCGTGGTGTTTATCACAGCAATAGAAATCTTAACTACGAGCCTGGCAGTGGTAGCACACGCCTTTAATCCCAGTACTCGGGAGGCAGAGGCAGGTGGATCTCTGTGAGTTCGAGGCCAGCCTGGTCTACAAAGCTAGTTCCAGGAAAGGTACAAAGCTACACAGAAAAACCATGTCTCAAAAAACAAAAAAGAAAAAAGAAAAAGAAAAAGAAATCCTAATTACGATACACTGGCAGCCATCAAATGGAATCTAGAGAACCACAAAAGATAAGGATGGGCAGAAGTTCTGGGCTTCTCCCTAAGCACACAGAGCCCAACAGACACTTCAGCTGTCCAGCGCTCAACTCACAGTGAAGCAGCTATTGCTTTTACTTACTATTCTCACCATTTTCTATTCTACTCCACTAGTCTGTGGAGTACGCTGGTCCTCAAACAAAATTTTAAGATTTTGATACCAAGTATGGTAAGCCACACTTGGGAGGCTGAAGCCAAAAACGGCATACTCAAAGCCAGCCTGGGGGACACAGCAAAACCTTAGACTCTATCAAGAAGTGAGACAAAAATGTTCACCTTTGATTCTAGTTGATGGTGAGCCACACCCAAGTGTGTGATCAGATGCTGTGGTACCGGTGACACATCTCCCACTCAGGACAGCTGAGCACATCACCCCTAGACCCTCAGCACACTTTTACTCTTTCTATGGGAGCTTTCTGACATGCTCCCTCACCATGGAGTAGTTTGCACTTTATAGAATTATATTTTAGATTGTGCATGCCATTCTATTTCATGGAACTGGCTTGCACAGCATAAACCTGTTTGAGGAGAGTCTGAGTCACTGTGCCTCTCTGTGCCCCTCTCTTGAGCAGTGTTCTACCTGTGGACAGTACAGTCCTGGGGATCCGGGTTCCTAGGGCAGACACTCACACCATTCACCTTGCAGCCTGAAGCATCACAAATGCAGTTGTGCAGCACACAAGTAAATGAGGGTCTACAGCAGACGTGGATTCAACGGCTGCACTGAGGAGTCCCTTTGCCTTTTCAAAGTTGTCACTTGCCCAGTATGCATAAGCCATTCCCCACTCCCAGCAGCAGAAGCACACAGAATTCTAGTCTTAACAAATCAAGTAATCGCCGGGCGGTGGTGGCGCACGCCTTTAATCCCAGCACTCGGGAGGCAGAGCCAGGCGGATCTCTGTGAGTTCGAGGCCAGTCTGGGCTACCAAGTGAGCTCCAGGAAAGGCGCAAAGCTACGCAGAGAAACTCTGTCTCGAAACCTCCCCCCCAAAAAAAATAATAATAATAAAACAAATCAAGTAATCAAATATGGCTAGCCTTCCTCACGTGAGCCCTTCCCATAGGCAAGAGCTCTTCCATAGTGCTTTAACACTGTACCCCAGCTATGAGGCTGTTGGCACACCTTTCCACACATGCTCACTACCAGCCATGCCTTTTTCTTGGTACTCTGTCCAAATCTTTTGCCAATTTATTCATTCATTCTCTCTCTCTCTCTCTCTCTCTCTCTCTCTCTCTCTCTCTCTCTCTCTCTTCCCTCCCTCCCCTCTTTCTTTCTTTCTCCCTCCTCTCCTTTGTTTGTTTTTTACTCAGTCTGTAGACCAGGCCTATCCTCAGACTCCCAGAGATCGCCTGCCTATCTCCCAAGTGCTGGGATTAAAGGCTGCACCACCATCGCCCATCTGACTGCATTTTTAAAAAAGATTTATTTATTTATTATGTATACAGTGTTCTGTCTGCATGTGTGCCTGCAGGCCAGAAGAGGGCACCAGATCTCATTATAGATGGTCGTGAGCCACCATGTGGTTGCCGGAAACTGAACTCAGGACCTCTGGAAGAGCAGTCAGTGTTCTTAACCTCTGAGCCATCTCTCCAGCCCATGTTCTTATTAGTAAGCTCTGAGAGCTCTCTGTAGACTTTGGGTATCAACTCTTCCTGCCTTATGGCTAGTTCACCCATTCTCTTCAGAGCCCTAGACAACAGCTTTACAGAGGATAGCAGTCCTATCTATTAGCTGCAGCTTTTATAGAGCACACTTTAGCACTGGGATGTGAATCCTTTTGCCAGTTTGTTTCTCAATGCTTTCCGTCTCCCCCCCCCCTCCCCCCCCTCTCTCAACTATCCATCGTCTCCCCCTTCTCCCTTTCCTCTCCTCTGCTCCCCTCCTCTCTCCCCCTCTCCTCTCTCTCCCTTCTCCTCCTCCCTCTCCCCCGCCCACCTCTGATTTTTTGAGACAGGGTTTCTCTGTGTAGGCTTGGCTGTCCTGAAACTCACTCTGTAAACCAGACTGGCCTCAAACTCAGAGGTCCACCTGCCTCTGCCTCCCCAGTACTGGGATTAGAGCTGTGTGCCACCCACTGCCCAGCTTTTCTCTGCTTTCTTCTGGAAGCTTTATAGCTTCTGCCTCCCAGTCCGGTCTCTGGTCATTTCTGACTTAACACCTGTGAAAGAGGTCTAGGGCAGGTGTCTCTTCCAAGCTAGCCTGTCTTCATTGAGCCCTGTTCCCTATGAAGCCTACCAGTTCAGCCCTCTGGGCAGAAAGCATCTCTGGTCTTGTGGCACTGATGAGTCACTGGATGAGCACCAAGCAAGTCTGCTCCAGCACAGCTACACTGTACCTCTTGAACCTTGGCTGCTCTGTCCTCAACATACAGCAACAACTACTCTTCCCCTCTCTGGTAGGAGTTCCTCCTTCCAGAAGAGGTCAGGCAGCTGCTGTATTACCAACATCCACCTCTATGTGGAAAAGCTGTAGGCAGTTCTGGGAACCATGTCACCAAAGCCCACAGAAGCTGCACTGAAGACCAGGGGGACCCGAGCCCACTGTGACAGACTGGCAGAAGCAAACCAGGGGGATCCGAGCCCACTGTGACAGACTGGCAGAAGCAAAGCTGGCTCCCAGGATAGCGCCATTGCACATCATCTCTACAAACACAACATCCCTCTCAGATAAACTAGAGCAACACAGACAGACAGACAGGAGTGACTTGTGAACACATCCTCAAACACCATGAGACACCAGGCTTCCAGGTGGATAGCTAGCTACCACAGCATGTCCAGGGTCCTGTAAAACCTGCTTGAGCACTACCTTGAGCATTGGGAGCTTGGTGGGTCCACGGTGCTACAGGGTTACCTACCAGTCAACAGCCTCCAGAACATATACCAAGGTTCTCCTTGTGTTCAGAAAAGACCCTACCTGTGGTACAAAGGATTCTCAACACACAGTACCTCTAGAAAAACAGCGCTGACTCACACACAGTACTAAACAAGAGTCTCTTCTGAGTGGACTTCCCAGTACTGCCAGGGCAGATTCTCATGATCTGTCCATGTCTGAAGACAGAGTCTAAGAAATATCTAACCTGCCAGGCCAGGTGGGTAACAAAACCCTGATACAAGCCAGCAATGCATTTCCCAGTTTCCTTTGCAGATAAGTGAGACCAAGAAACTGAATTCTTGGTCTGAATTCAACAAAACGTAAGTGGAAGCTCTTCTAGCTGCTCTGAGCGTGCTCCTCCTCTCTAGTTTGCATCTGCCCACTTCAAGTGAGCACTAGAGCCCTGGCTGCCAGCTTGGACCACAAGGTCAAAAAGTATATCCCGCGTACACACACAGGAGAAGCTGGGTCAGCCAGGACCGAGGTCTGATGAAGGTCTGGGACTGCCTCCCTGAACACCACAATAGAGAATAAGAGGAACTTTGGACTGTCTGAGCCTTTGTTATGGCCGGCTTCTCTCCCACAAGACAGCCCTTTCTTCACAGTGCATCAGTTAGGAGCACATTCCCCTATAGAGACCGAGTGGCCACAGCCATGCATCAGCATGTATGTATGTCTCATCTAGGGTACTTACTGTCCTCGAGTAACCAGTGTCATAGCCTAGACTTCACTCTCTCTAGACCCAGTGTGAATGCAACCTGGGAGGAAGGCCACAAACAGGTTCAGCCACTGTCCTAGTTACAAGTGACAAGGACTGAATTGATGTTCTTTAGAGCTTAGCTTCTTCTTGAGAAGGTAGCTGTCCTCCAATACCCTAGCCCACTCCAAAGACACCTGCCCCAGCCAGGCTCCAGGCTCATCTCACTCAGCACCATTGCTCTACAAGAAGCACAGCTTTTATTACAGTACAGAAAGTAGTTAATTGTGACCAATGTGCCCCTCAATACCTCCAAGGTAAGGGAAAAAAACAGCATCTTACCTCAAAGGAACACTCGACACTTCTGTCATTTTTTGTGTGTGATAATCCCTTCAGGTCTATTTTTTCAACACTCACTGTAAAAACAAACACAAAATTATAAGGAGGCAGTAAAATTTCAGATACAAATGATTGCTGGGCATGTGACAAGTAGCTATTCTATACAAGGCTGCTAGAACCAAAACCTGAGTAGCAACTGCATCAGCCTCAGCTGGTATTGGCATCTTGGAATACTAAGTGATACTCAGATACCAACCAAATCCCAAGAAAGGGAGTGTAAGGAGCTTGAGTGGGACAGTACATTTATGAGCACTTATGCTGTCCTTTAAGACAGTTGAAAACTTGGTCCACTTTTTAGGAAGCTCATGACCATGTCTCCCTTGGTGAATGGTCTGCACAAGAAGAAACCTATTACATTCTTTGAGGGTTTTTCCATGGACCTGTATGCCATTGCTCAGCTTTGCTGCTAGGGCAAAAATGGAGCTCTGAATGGCAAGGTCTGGGAGGAATCACAGTGGTTCCCAGACAGTGTGACATGATTATGAGGTTGGGGACTGACCATGCTAAAGGAGAGTTGCTGTCATCATGGAATTCTGAGGCTTCACTCTACTTCCTGTTCTAAACTTTTCTCCTCAGAAATGAAACGGCACCATTAAACTATAAGCACTGTTTCCAGGCAAGCCCAAACATGTGTTCACAATCAAGCTCTCTATCCGGGCACACACATCCTCCCCCAGATGACAGTGTTGCTGATTGATCCCATCCAGGGACTCAGCTGCTTTTTCCAGGCAGTTCCTTTCCGCAGGCATGAGATGAGAGTCACATAACCCATCGCATTGGGCACCCGGGGGAGACTACAGCTGAGGAGTACTGCTATGTTGGTAGAGCTTCCAGGATTCCAGAAAGCCACCGCCGCACCCTGCAGAGCTTTCTTCACCCTGAACTCTAGTGATAGATGGTGACATACTCACTAGGCTTTACACTCCCTGCAGGTACACTCTTCTGGTCAGCAAAGCCAGAGCCTTCCAGAATGCCAGTTCTATGAGATGTTGAGGGACAGCCCAGAAATTTTATAGACAAAAGATCTAGAGGAGAAAAACCCCTCAGCAATGGCAACCTGCTCTGTGAGGCTGCACTGGGAGGTCCCTATACCTGTGGTGCTCCATGCTGGAGTCACCACTCACTGTGCTATTCGTTTAAATGTAGTAAAATGGAATCAAAATGGACTAAACTCTGGTCTAGGGATGGAACAGACACATGTGTGGGGCCACCCCTCTGGATGGTGAAGAACGGATATTTCCTGTATTCACGGGTCTTTTGTTAGTGCTGTGTGGATGGACTAGCACACAGACCAAAGCACTTCCTCCCATTTGTATAAACAGCTTTCTTAGCACATGACTACACAATTGCTCCAGTACCACTGACAGCTACTGTCCGCCTACTACGGTGAAGCTGGACTCAAGAGCAGAGACAGACACTACATTAGGGCCTCAGTCTGGATGCTGCACCACACCACAGCAGAGCATTTACCCACTACACTTAGCAATGCCAGCTGCAGGAGAAATGGGAGCAGATCAGGAACCCCTGGGAGAAGAGATGTGCCACATCCTGATGGCCATCACAGCACCCCTGCCATCAGCCACTCCTTCAGCTAGAGGCCAGCAGGAAGCAAGCCCTCGGCACAGACTCAGTGACACCATTCTAAACGCCTTCCTTCTCTAAGCAACAGACTGTAGGACCAGTGCCTGCCCTGCCCAAAGAGAATCAATCTGTATCCAGTGTTCCCAGACCAAAGAGCATCAGGGTGTATGAGAAAGGAAAAAGGAAAAAACCCATTTGAACCAAGGGAAATGACTCAGAGCTGGACAGGAAAACGGGCAGAGCAGATGAATATCATTTAGCTGTTTGCATATAAAAGCATTTTGGAACCAGACCAAGTACTCACAGCCAGCCCACTGCCTATGCTATGTTTTAAACCTTAGTACTGATCTCATTGCCTTACTGCTGCTAGCCTCGGCACCCAACTAACTGTGGGCTCTTCTTCCAAGCTCCTAATGCCAGGGCAGGGCAGGGACTTAGCAAGTAAGGGGGCCTGCCACCAAGCCCAATGGCCTGATTCAATCCCCAGGACCCAAGTGATGGAAGACGAGAACTAACTCGTGCAAGTCCTTTGACTTCCACAGATGTGCCATGTCACAGCACACACAATAAACATAAGTAAATAAACAAATAAATGTAATAAAAAATGTTTTAAAATACCATGTTTCAGTTTACTCTCCAACTCTGGAGTCACTAGAGGCCATGATTATAGGAACTGGATTGGCTCTGTGGTACAGCACATGCCTCGTATGTATATGGGTCTGAGTTCCAGAGTTCCAGCCCCACTATCACAAAGGCAAAACAAAATTCACACAACTGAACAAAGCTGAAGGGTGTGTGGGATGCCAGAGGCCAGACATCTCCTCCAAGCAGCACCATGAACTGGGAAAGTCTCAACTCCCAGGAAACCGCTGGGTTTTCAGGACTGAGAATTATGACTCTTACACCAATGGCACCTTATACTGCAGCTGGCTGGAGCAGCGAGTGGGTCTGCCATCCTCCTCCTTTAGCCAAGAGAGCCGGAGACATTCAAACACAATGGGCGCCGCAGCTTTGCAGTTGCCTTTAGGGCAGATCTTGCCAGAATCCTGCCCACCGGTCTGAACAGCTCCCAGGGCTACAGTGCAGGGCAGCTGATACCTTGGAAGCTTCATGGGCAACAGGGAACGCCTTTTTCAACCTTTCTTTCCCTCTTTTAATTTTTTTTAAAAAATATTTATTTCTTTCTATTTATTTATTTTGAGGCAGAGTCTTTCTACCTAGGCCTGGCTACCCTGGAGAACTTTATTTCCTCTATTTGTTTCTTTTTGGTCTACATGTATGAGTGCTGGGAGGGTGAACTGACTTTTCCTGGCTGTGACTGTGTGCTATCTTCCTTTACTGACGGCCATTGCTGCTACAAGAATGGCAGACAGTAGGTTTTAACAGGGCACCAGACAGTCAGTAGTTCCTCAAAGAATTCTTCTAATACCTTATTATCAAAAACAGGTGCTGGGTGCAGGCCCAGGGATCATACCAATCCTGGAAAACATGCTGCCCATGATCAAAACTAGGCTCACCAACTGAGAAGGCTGTGGGACAGTGGTTTGTGTAGCCTGTTTTGAATTTTTTTTTTTTAATTTTTACATGCATTGATGTTTTGTCTACATGTGTGTCTGTGTGAGGGCATTGGATCCCTTGGAACTAGTATTACAGACAGGTGTGAATCAGACCCGGGTCCCTGGAAGAGCAGCCAGTACTCTTAACTGCTGAGCCAGTTCTCTAGCCCAAGTATAGCCTGTTTTGATGCTCAGCTTCGAAATAAACCTAATTAAATAATGACAGACACAGAAAAGCATTTCCAAGGGTTTTTCCATGCTTAGTGATGCTGTTCAGAAATCAAGCTACATAAATACTTAGGAATTACAATTGCAATCAAGGAAGCCATTTTTGTCTCCTGCATAATACACAACCTGGCTTTCACCCCACAGAACGTCTTAACACTTTGGGGTAAAACTTACACAGAGCAAATGCAATATCTCAAGTCAGTCAAGGTGAACATATGGACCCCACCTCCAGGTCATCGTTCATTGAGTCAGGATGGCAGTGAGCTGGCTGGTGGACTGGTACCTGTAGGCTGAAGCAGGGCATACAGATGCACACATCCCTCTGCTCTGTGCAGTGTCTAATTCTTAACCAACTTCTGACCAAAGGATACCTACACCTCCTGCAATTACTGGTAAGGTCTGAGCACTGGCTTCCAATGCTGTTCCTTTCCTGTATCTTTTTGGGATACACTGCACCACACTTTGGAACTCTAGCAGTGTGTAGGTTCTTATGCCCTGCTCTGAACTAAACTGTCTGATCTACAAAAATGAAGTTCACAGCAGATACTCAAGAGAATCATGTGAAGAGCGGCTGACACTGTGTCACTTGGATTTTACTCAGTATTAGTGTGGACTAGCCACAGCTGGTGCATGTCAGGGTCCAGGGGCAGGACACTGCAGCTGTTCTCAAGCACTGTGGGGGTAATGTCAGGCGAGACAAGACCAGGGCCAGGGGAAAGAGAGAGGAACATAGGCCGTAACTATGATGGCATGTGAAGGAATTCTGAGCTCTCCTACAGGTTCTGGTCAGCTTACAGCTCCGTTCAGATGGCCTGCTGGTATGAAGCTTGGTGCTCACAGCGTTGGCAGTTACCAGGTCCCTATAAGCTGCATGTACTCACCTCGGCAGAGAAATCCTAGCCCAGCTTCAGGAGTCTATAGCCCAGCAGACCAATACAGACAGCACTGGGGCTTGAGATGCTGCTGGGCTGTGAGCTAGGACAATGGTCCTCTCTTGGAGGATAAAAACAGAGAGGCAGGGATGGAGGCAAGAGAGCCCAGAATGATGCGGATGTAAAAGACAAGTTGTCTGACATTTCCTTTTTCTTGATTTTTTTTCCAGATTTTTAATTTTATGTGTATGAATGTTTTGCCTGTATATATGTGTGTACATATGTATGTACACCATGTGTGCCTGGTGCCTGTGGAGGTCAGAGGCGGCACAGAATCTCCCGGGACTAGAGTTACACATGGTTTTGAACCAACATGTATGTGCTGGGATTCAAACTCTGGTCCTAAGTGGTGGTTTGAATAAGAATGCCCTCCACTGTCTGGGGTACTTGAACATTTGGTCCCCAGTTGATAGCATTATTTGGGGAGGTTTAGAATGTGTAGCCTTGTTGGAAGAAGTATGTCACTGGAGGTGAACTTTAAGTGGATTTTTTGTTTTGGTTTGTTTTTGTGTTTTTGTTTGGTTTTTCGAGACAGAGCTTCTCTTTGTAGCCCTGGCTATCCCGGAACTTGCTCTGTAGAGCAGGCTGGCCTCAAACTCATAGACATCCAGCAGCCTCTGCCTCCCAAGTGCTGGGATTAAAGGTGTGTGCCATCACCATCCAGTGGGCTTTAAGAGTTTAAAAGACTGTGCCATTTCCAGTTTTCTGTCTATGCTTTGT